AATCACAAAATTGCATGGGTTAAATTTTTGTGTTCCCTCCTGTTAATTTTGTGTTCCCAGTACGTTCCCTCCTGTTGATTACAACACATCGTCACTCTAGTTCTAGTTAGAATAGTAGTTATCATGATTCATCATCTTAGTCATCATACATAATAATCATAAAATATTTTTTTTGCAAAATAGTGAATATGAAGCTTATTTTAGATATCGTGAAAAAGATTTTAAATTAGTAGAATATTTGATATATCATTTGTTTTATGGGAAAATTACACATTTCAATTATAATGAAAAAAAAGAGGAATTTTATAAAGCTTATAATTTATATAAAAAAAAATATGAAGGTGGAAAACCCGAATTGATATCTGAGGTAAATATAAAAAACATTAAATACATAAATAGAGTACTTGAAATGATAATTTACGTTAGGCAGTTGGAATGAATTTAGTCAGTATTAATAGTTTGCTTATGATGACATGTTTACTTTGTTGAGCCTCTATTCTCAAAAATCCTGACAGGAATTTAATAATCTTCTAAACAATTAATACTATATTTTAGACAAATAAAACTGAACATAGACTTGTGTGATCAATAAGTATGTAATTTCAGTTTGAGAATACTGACTATAATATTTTATTTAATTAATATAGGCTGATAAAATGTCTCTAGAACCATTTATAAATTTACTAGTTCAAATAAAAAATAATTTTACTAAGAGCCATGTACTTTCAATAAGAGTAATTAATAAATTAAAAGAATTTGGATGGGTTGACATCAATCCTTTAGAAAATGAGGATGTATCAAGTGCATATAAGAGATTAAAAATGGTAAGAATCTGTTATTGATTATTTGACATGCGATAAACTTTGTATTGATTATTCATCATATTTAATATTTATTACAATTAGTCTTCAAGGTCCTGCAACAAAATTTTAAACATAATTGGTAACAACATTAATAACATAATTTTGGAGCCAGATGATCCGTTGTTATCTGGTATTTTAGATATACAACATATCAAAGAAAATAAATACAGCTTATATTCTTTGTTAAAAAAGTGCACCATGTGGGATGAATTTATAGCAACAACATTAAACAATTACAAGCTTTCAGAGTCTTTAAAAATGCTAATTAAGGAAAATTACAATGGAACATATTTTGATTCTTCACTTTTTGTCACAACTGAAGAAAAATTGGAATATTTAAAAACATTAGGATTGATTGGAAAAATATAAATATATTTTTTATCTTTATCTTTCAGCATATTCAAAAAATAACCTTTTGACTCTGATTATTTATTAGAAAAAAATATGGGCAAATAATGAATATAAGAAAAGATCAAAACATATTAATGAATTAACATTTTCCCATGATTTCATGGAAAGTTATATGGATTTTTTGATAGATGATAATGGTGGTGGTGGTGATGGTGATGATGATGATGGTGATGATGATGATGATGATGATGATGATGATGATGATGATGATGATGATGATGATGATGATGATGATGATGACAATGATAAAGGAGATCAAGAGATTGAAGATCCATTGTCTGAATTTACGACCGAGGAAATAAAAGAAACGATAGATAAATATGTAACGACTGTTGCGGGGCTTAAACGATCAATCACATTGTACAGAGAAATTATATATAAAGTTGCATCTGACCCTGATATTTTGGAGTTTGCTCCACATATGATAGCTTATCAATTGACATTAATTGATTCTGCTATTTTTCTAGAAATTGATCCTCATTCACTGTTAGCTCATTCCACAAAAAATCCTGATCCAAAAATAATAGCATCCACGGATTTTTTTAATTATTTAACACGTATTGTAGAATGTTCTATTTTGTCACCGGTTGAAGCCTCTTCCAGAGCATTGGTTATACATCATTGGGTTAAAGTGGCGGCTAAATTACACGAATTGCATAATTTTCAAACTTTAAAGGCTATCCTTTCAGCTTTAGGTACGCCACCAATAAAAAGATTGAAGAGGACATGGACATGTATCCCAAAAAAAAGTATGGTGAAATTAGATTCGTTAAATGAAATGATGAGTGAGTCTAGTAATTATGAAAAATATCGAGAGACAATACAACCTGAAATATTTTCAAGAAAACCTATTGTACCATTTTTGGGAACATTCATAATGGATGCAACATATTTATCAGCAGCTATAAGAAACTCAGCGTCATCATCCATCAATTCACCATTGATTTCACTTTCCATGACTAGCACCACCACCAACAGCGATGATTCTGATAGTGGTAATGGTAATAAAAATAACAACATTACAGGTAATAGTTGTTTTACACATCCTATATCACGATCAATGTCATTACCCTCTTCACCCGAAAAAATTCTTACTTTACAAGATGATTCACGAGTTCAAGAATTACTGCATACAATGTTTCGATATCAAAATGGACCAAAATATCAACCAATCCCGCCAATGTCGTATATAAAAGCGTCAACAAAACATCATTTTCGAGCGACAAGTCTTGGGGCTGCTTTACATCGTGGAAGTGTGATTAGATATCACAATAGAAATGATGACGATAATGAGATTATCAAGGAAAAACAACAAATTATAACGCATTATCTATTGACTCGGACATGGATTCCAGAAAAAAGTGTTGATGAATTAAGTTTGCAGCGCGAACCGCATAAACAAAAAAGTAGCCAAGATGGTCGGGCACTTAAAACATCATCATGGGGTGGTAGTAGTAGTGGTGGTGGTGGTGGAAAATCAAATGCAAGAGCTACTGTTTGAATTGATTGTATTATTATTTTTTATTTATTATAAAAGACTCTTTTTTGTATATATTTCATGTTTTTTTTTTAAAAAAAATTGTATATATATTACGTATACATATCCATTTATATATATTTTTTATTTTTTATTTGTGCACACCAATTTTCAGATAGAATTTTAAATTTTTTTTTTTTTGTCACTTTTAAAATCAAAATTGAAAAATTGAAAAGGTATCAATAAATCTTATAAAGATTGTCACAAAGGTGAAATGTCTAAAAAAACTTTTCTGTGAATAGTCAATTTACTGATGGTGATTTAATATTTTGGCATATTTCTCAACAGGTTTTTATTTCATTTATTTTATTATTTTCTCTTTAAACAATTATTATTTAATAAAATTAAATGAAATGAAATAAACAATAATAATAAATGATTTTATTTATAAATTTAGACAGATGATGAATCCCATGATTTACATTATATGGTACAATTTCCTGCACTTATGTTGTTAAACAATCAATTGGAAAATGGCACCAATGCCACCGCCTTTTTCTTTCCCTCCTCCTCCTCTTCCTCCTCATATACAAATCCTAATCAATTCCAAGAAAGAAGTTTGTGATTTGTAGAGTGATATTGATAAAGGAATATATGTCAAGAAAATAAGTTTTTTTTTTTAAAATTACAAAACATACTAATGGTCATTTGTGAATTGGATTTATGATATTAGGAAGAAAGATAATTTCAGATATATATATATTGAGGGCTGAAAATTTTACAAATTAATGAAATCTTAAGAGTAAAAAAAAGTCATGATGAGATAATAGGCATAATTAGATGTAAAGTTTTTTTTCTTTGGTTTTTTTATTTTATTAAAAAAATTTGTATTATTTTTTTACTTCAAAAAAAATTTTTATAAAATAAAATTTATAAGAGAATGTGCCTCTTGGATAGGCAAAAATAAAATTGGGTGACACCTGTTTCAGAAATGTATAATTATAAAGAAGAAATAATTGGGATCAAAGTAGTTTGATAAGCTTGTGGAAATTAGACCTTGTCAGTAGCAGTAGTTGAAAAAGTAATGAAAAAAAAAATTAAAGCTATGTGTAATATTGAAAATGATTTTTTAAAAAAAAAAATCTTTTTATATGCATTACATGAATTTAGATATATGAAAAATTTTGACATGATTATTATTATTTTCAACAAATGTTACACCTTGAACTATTTCATCATTATTTTTTAATAATTCAACATCTTGTTATTTTTATTATTTCCAGTAGATCTCGACGCATTAACTGATCAATATCATCATTACTCAACAATCCAACATCATTAACTTGAATATCAGTTAATTTTATTTTTAACATATTATTACCAGGTATCAATCATCAACTTCATTAGAACCATCTGGTGCCTAGCTTTTGTGGTTTTAGTGATAATTATTTTTATTTGTCTTCAACTTGATCGTTATTTAATAATTTTGAAAGTTCCTTCTGAATAGTGAAATTTTAATCATTCTTTGAATCAGTTACTGCCATCTTGTTGTTTATTTATTGGTACCAATCAATGCCTTCATCAGTATCTTTCTTCTTTTTTTCTTATCAGTCATCCGTGATGTCACAATGAGTGATTTTGTTATAGCGATCGACATAGCGCTTTTCCGTACAACAGACTTTAAAACCAAAGAACGAAAAAGCATGATCAAACATCCTTCGTGTTTCTATGTAAACATATTTTCATAGTTTCGCTCTTTCAAACACAATCTTTTATACTTCATTAGCTTTTTTCGTTCAAGAGAAATAATTATTCGAAAAGGCACATACTTTTTGCCTTCGGAACCACCATCCTTTTCAGGGAGAAGACTCATTGAGATCTTTTTAACATTAACAGGTAGAGTATAATATTAGCTTTTGAAAAATATATATTTATTAGGCATTTTATTTTTTGGGGAAGAAATTAAAAGCGAAAAACGGTATACATTATTATTTACTAAATTTATTTAAATATTTTAAATTAATTAAATATTTATGATTCTCTAGCATTTTTAGATTTTCTTTTAACGTGGTAATACCAGTAGTCTCTTACTCTTTTGTTAGTCCATGAACCATTTACTTTAACCAATTCTTCATTTATTCTCATACAAACTTCTTTTGGCAAATCTGTGTAATTAAGAAGCTCCTGAAGAATTATTTGTTCTTCTGTATATTTTTGGCTTTTAGGAAGTGGAGATCTTACCTCTTGTACTCTTTCATTACTTGCTGCAGATATTGTCTCTTCTATTACAGCTGGTAAGTCATCATTTATTTGTTCTGTATCATCATTGTTAATTTGATTTTGTTCTTTTTCATATTCCTTTTGCTCACTTACTTTAATATGAGGTAGATTTTTTTTTCGCCTACCAATTTTGGATTGTGGTTCTGTTTTATAAATATCTTGATGTAATATACGATTTAAACGTTCAATTCCTATTTCATAACTTTCAAACATTTTTATAAAACCAGATTCATTTATTTCTTTAGCATTTTTAAAAAAATCATGCATTTTAGGATCTGGAAGATCAAACGCCTTGTCTAATTCATTTACAATTGACCATAGGACTTCTTTTCTTTGCATAGCTGGATGACTACCTTTCACTACAGTATTGTCTTCAACAAATTCTGAGAAAAGCAGCATCATACGTTCATGTTCTGATTGAACTGACTTAATTTGCAGTGTCAAGTTCTTGAGGTCTGTAGTTTTACCAGTAATATTTTGCTTTATAAATTTTACACCAAAAAATTCTAATGCCTCATCAAATGAAAAAAAATGTCCTTCTCTGGTTAGATTAACTGAGCTCACATGGGTAAGTAACTCTTTCTGTTCAGGATTCCGGTGAATTGACTCAAGAAAAAATACTACTGATTGAGCATAATTGCTTTTTCCAGTTATAGGGAACAATGGAGCAAATGCAGCCAAGTTCTCTATCTGCATTTCAAAATTTCCTCTACGTATACCTAGTTGATGGCATTTCCAGAATCCAAAATAACGGTAGTATAAAAACCATATTCTTAATACATAATTATTTCCTTCAAGAATATCATCTACTGTCATATTTCTTTTTAATACATATTGATTAATAGATATTCCAACAGCTGCCCAAATTAATTCTAAAACACAAGATGTTGCTCTATAATCAACATTTTTTTCCAATGTTTCTAAAAAACGAACACCAAGTGCAGCTGCTATATTATAAATTCCATAACCACTAAATGCTGTGATTAAGGCACTACACATAGCTTTGGATGTATGCCATCCACCTAAAATAAAACGTCCAGTCATGTTATCATTATGGTATGATTTGGTTCTTCTAAAGATTGCTTCATCACAAGCCATGTCAATTATATGTTGTCCAAGATCATCAAAGTACTTATTTATTGAACTAAAGACATTTTCATTATTTTTAGGAGCAGGTCCTGCATCAAGAATGACAACATTTTGTGGTGGAACTTGACAGCCTATTTCAATTTTGGATGCAATTTTTGAATTAATATCCTGAACATCAAAACCACCTTCATAATTTTCAATAAGCTGTTGAAATATTATGTCAATATTTTTTTCCCATTTACTAATTAAAGATGATTTTCCAAATAATGCATCACTGTGAGTCTGTGGATGATTGATTTGTAAAAATGAAGCTACTGGAAATGGAAGTTGAAATTGAAAGACCATCCTGAGTGTGGCATGTGCAGAATTTCTGGTTACATCATATATGTTTCCATAATGAAAGGTTGTATCCTTAAAATCAATGTTGTCTATAACTGCAACATTCCAAGTTTCAGGGGTTCTGAGCAATTTTGATCGAGGATCTACATTTTTCATTCTTTCTTTTTGTTTTTTTACTTCATGATCCCATGAATATGAGACAACATTTACTGTGTGTAGTATTGATTGCAATATTGAAATCATTTTAGGTCTTTGACAAAGTGATGCCATGGTATGAGTTAACCATATTTTCCATGTTGGAAATGCAACTGTAAGAATCATTGAAGCAATAAAAACAGTAATTTTCTGAATTGAAGAAGGATCAAAATCTTTTGGAAAATGTCCACGACTCTTTCGTTTTCTTTCAGCAACTTGATGCTTTTTTTGTATTATAGAACCAATCATGCCATCAAAAAAATTAATCAAGGTTTTGGGGATGAATTATAGTACTGATTTAGGGAAGTTGGATTTTCTAAAATTGAAAGATTTTGTTTAAGTTCTTTGTGTGAATTCCAAATGGAATTACCCAATTGTTTTCCAAAATTTTCACAATTATTAACATTTAATTCTTCTATTGGTAGATTAATATTGGAGTCATGTAATTTCATGGCAGTGTTTACGAGGAACACACTAGGAGTTGCTGCTTTTGATAATAATTGATCGGTAGAGTTTGTTGTTTCCAATAGTGGCATTAAATGCAAAGTACTTTTCTTTTTTTATCATCATTTTCAGATTCGGAAATTTTTGTAATCCATTGTGCAAATAATTTTAAAGAAAAGGTCACATCATTTCTATGTAAGTCATCATTAATACATGAATTTGATTTTCCTGATCCTTGACGTTTGTGTAAATGTCCACCATAAGCTTCAAAACATTCTGTACAAATGTATCGAACACGATCATTATTTAAGGCTTTAGAAGAAATATGTGGAATATCAATAAACACAGGACAGGATTTGAGGCCAAGACAAGGTACTTGAATATTTCTTCCAACAAGATTCCAAGAGTGTATTGCACAATCATCACCCCTACTGAAAAAATATTTATATCTATCACACATAAGACATTTTTTCTTTTTTATCTTACTTTCATTAGTACTTCGTTTTTTTTTAGAATTAGGGTTATGAATCTTGCTATTATCAAAATTGAAATGACTTGTACAAACACCATATTCATATAATTTAAAATCAGAATTCTTCCCTATAGATGCATCCACCTCCCATGTTCCAAAAAGCTGTGCTATTGATACTAATTTTTCTGTTGAACAACATCGAGAA